TTCTTTGTATTCAACGAAACCATTTCAATGACTTGTGTTTCTGCTTCTTATTCTCGTCAAGAACATGGACCTTAGTGTTGACACTGATTCAATGTTCTTTGTATTCAACGAAACCATTTCCATCACTTTTAGCGCTGACAACTTTTTTTGCCGAAAAAATGGGTGTATCAAAAACGATATTTTATTTTATGCGCTGAGATATTACACTCGTTTTAAAAAAAAATCCATCGAATCGGCCAGGAATTCGGGATTGAACTGGACGCCAACACCGTTTCCTTACTTTGGGCTAATTTTGGGGACTTTTAGGGACTGTTTGGATGGCTGCGGACCATCGCTTTTGAGTCGTTGGCTTATATGCCGCATTAGTAGCGGTTAATACTGACATTTCAGTGCCATAAACACCAACTCTTGTATTATTTTTAAAATTGAAAATCTTGAGGAACTCATTCCTAAAAGATCGGTTCATACCTCCATAGATAAATGCGTTGACAGCGCTACCAATAGTCCCAAAGTACAACCATATAAGATGAACTTGCCTTGGGAGATATTCATAAAAATGAAAAATATTGCTCGTAATAACAATGACTTCATAGACAATTACTGGCGTCCAGCAAACTGCAAACGCAAGGACCACTCGAAAAAGCGTTCTAGTTATGTCAATCTCTTCGATATTCGTTCTCGTGAAAGGTGTTGTAGACGTTTCGTTTTGCTTTCTCGCTGCGTGTCTTGCGCCTAGTAACGATTTCGTAACATTTCTTTGATGTTCGCGAACTTTACGAAATACTTTTTTATAGCATCGTGTTATCAGAACTGTGGGTATTATGAAGAAGACTAGAAATGCTACGATTTGGTAGATGAAGGTAAGGCTTTTGGTACCAAGCCAAGCGTACATCACGCACGAAGCTTTAGCTGATTGAAACTTCACACGCAGCCAATTAATCTTGATGAGAAATGCAATGGTTATCCCAATCGACAACCACACAAAAAGGATCATCACCAATGTGGACCTCATTGAGAAATATCGATTGTAAACCCTAGGTTTTACAACGCGGTAGAATCGATTAACCGCGGTAACTGCCATAGTGTATAGAGAAATTCCCGCCAGGACGTAGATCCAGTACGCCTGAAACTGGCACCCAAAACTCGAGTAAATCCAACGACCTTCAATTAGAACTCCAGCAGCAATAGGTATACATAAACAGGCCATCAGAATATCTGAAATTGCTAGGCTCAGAATAAAAACATTTGTTACCCGTCGTCGGAGAGCTTTATTTCTGTACATGGCTAAGCAAATAAGGGAGTTGCCGAAGAAAGCTGTAAGCCCAATGGCTATCAACGCTCCTGCCTCTAGGATAACTTCTGCCATTCCTCGTTCCAAAAGTTCTTGAGCAAACATTTTCTCGAGTTGAGCACTGAGATCTGAATTATTTTCACGATTATTGGTGGTGTTTGCCATTTGATATGTTTAAAGCGTTTTCTTTAGTCTTGTTTCCAAATTGCCTCGGCGGCTCTTGTCGTACAAAGATTCAACGCGGAAAAGAAATTCAAATGAACAGTACCACTAGAGGCGTGAATTGAAAATCGAAACATTTGTAACATATTTTATAATTATAAAGAGTTACTTCAACTGTGAAATGTTTCTTCCGATTGGCTTTTCAAGCTGTCAAATTCTGATCAAGCTCAATAATGCACCGTACGTTTCTCATAAGACAAGTGTTGATACAGAATCGCATCTTCAAACCATCAACAAATAGAAGCTTCCAGCATTCTGGAATATAATTTCCACAAAAATGTGAAAGAAAGGTGCAAATAACCTTGAAATACAAAACAGAATGAATTGCAAACAAGTTATAAAATCCTGACTTTCAAGGTTCTTAGCCATACAATTCGGCTTCTTCTGAAGCCGGAATTAAAGACCCGCCAGCTGAAGTGTTGAATTAGATTTACCACCGAGTGTTGGCGATATCTTCGTTGATAATTCGTTGTAAAAATGATTACCATCGATACAATGTTATTAGTAACAACAAAAAGCTGTCAATCCATGCACTGTTGCTTGATTTGAGTACCACGAGCTCTCTTAGTAGGAGTTGAGAAAATCAATTTGGTTTGCTCGGTCTCTTGTTAGCATAATTTTCAATTATAACTTGGTTTCTTTGAGAAACGTTGCGCTGTTTAAGCACCTGCATACCGTATAGGCCGCTACGCATTCATAACGGAGTTTGAAAACGGTGCATCTCTTAGAAGATCAGTTCTAAAACTCATGAATATTTAATGAGAAAACAAAGCAAATCACTACTGTGACGGTGGTTTGGAAATGTGTTCTTAATTTGCATTAAATTTCGTAAACTTTTTCTTTGATTTTCTCCAAGAAATATTCATTAGTTTGAGAAGTAATTTGAAACACTTGAGCATAGTTAATTGACTTGAGAGAGCTCTTCCTTCGATTTCCAAACACCTCAAAGTCAGTTAAAAAAACTCGGCTGCGCCTCGTTTCAACTCACTTTTCGGTGTTTGGAAATCGAAGGAAGGACTCTCTCGCGTGTTTGAAATATTACTTCAAATATTTGCTTTTCAATGGAAAATGCATGAAAATGATGATAATCTATGCACTTTGGACAATTTCAAAACATTTAATAAGATTTATTTTACGCAATTGTCGCTGGCATGGAAAATGAAAAACTAAATTGTTGCCAAAAGAAATGACACTCAAAATTGATGTTCACTAAGCAAAAAAACAATTGGTATTGAGGACTTGTGCATAATTTTGGTTAACGTTTCGATAACTACTTGAAAAAAAACTACTTGAAAAAAACTAAAGTGCTCTTGTCAGTGAGGGATATATAAGGCATAAATTTGTCACTCAGAGACTGGACAAAGGTTTAAAGCGCAATTACACGGAGTAATTTTTCTAAGCAACTTGTCTCACAACAGCGTTTAATCGACACAAGTTGTATGGAGCATTGCACTGCGTAACCTACAGCGCAATTTGAAAAATGTTACGAAAATTAAATTCGTGTTTCTACTTTTGGCTACGATTACGTCTCCGTTGCACCGTGGAGGCATAACACTAATGTACTAATAAATCACTCGTGATTGTAAGCTGCATTGCTAATAGCGCCTTAATATGCAGCCCGTAAAGTCCTCCACTGCATTGTAAAGCGCATTGAGACATTGTGAAATGCGCTATAGAAGAACCCCATTATTATTATTATTATTATTATTATTATTATTATTATTATTATTATTATTTACAACTTGAAACTTGTGTCACAACCGGCTGTTGAGAGACAGGTTGCAGTGAGAGCTTTAATTTTTCAAGAAACTTGTAATTCTAGCTAAGATGGCAAGTTATAGGCAACTTTCACAGCATGAAGATCTAGATATAGGTTTAAATATCTAGGCTTTCTATAAAGATAGGGAAACCGATTATGGCCTAAAATCGATAATCCTGACACAATCTACTATAGGGCTCAGCCCCTGGTGTGTTTCGGATTTTCGTAAAGATGGGCCTTTCGTGAATGCCTTTCGGAGTATATATTTGAGTAGAAAATAATACCAAAAATATATCTAAACTTTCTTTTTTTTTTTTTTCTTTTTTTTTTACAGAATTCTATTGTCATAAGTTTATACTAAGCTTTGTTATGTTGCTATTATTTAAAAACCTCATTACATTCGTATAAAGAAACTGCAAGCTGTCCATTATCGTAGGTAAGGGGATAGGACAGGGGGGCGAAACCCCTGTCTTAAAATTCCTGAAAGAGGATTCATTAATTTTTGGCCGGTTTATTTTGGGATGGCAAAAAGCCTTGTGCTACTGAGAAGATTCATGAGTCTCCTCCTTTTGAAAGCTTGTACTATAAAGAATGCGCCAACCAACTAAATGCGTTGTACTCTCGCTACGCCAGAGAAGAAGCTGCTGTATATAAATACCAGTCTGATTCCTACGCGAATGGTGTCAGATCTATCTACATATTCCCGTGTACCGTACCACGGGTTTTGGGTTTTTCTTTATCTTTCACCTTGATTTTGTCTGCCTGTATTGTGCTCAATGCACCAATCCTGAAGGGACACATTGTTCATTTAGGCCCACATATTCTTGGGAGTTCAAAACGCAGTGCACCGTACCAAGAGAACATAAATAAGAGAGGGAAACTTCTTCATAACGCGCGCGCCATGCAAATTCCCGGTCGGGCTATTTTTAGTAACCGGATGCAGTTTAAATTTCGCCTTACCCTACTCGCGCGCGCGCTCTTTCCATTTATTTTGATCACTAAAAACGAAAAAGAAAGAGCGCACGCGCGCAAGTTGATGACGCGCGGGAGTAAGGTAAGGCGAAATTTATCTGCATCTGTCTTGACCGTACTTATATTCCTTCTAAATAATTTTCACTTTGGTGTCTTTTATTTCTTCTGGGTTTCGAGTTCAGTCTTGGCAGGTTTACTTCTTAGTATTCGAATTAGTTGTCCATTAGTTGGCCATGTGTTGACGTGCCTATACAGCAGGACCATTTTTTGGTTTTCTTATATTCTAGAGGCACTCTTTCTTCGTGTCAACACGATTCAGAGTGGCCTATTCTTGAGGATACATCGAGGCTCAATTAATCAATAACAGAACCTTTATGTTTAATAAGGAAGTACTCTAGCTGAAGGTGCACGTTGGTCCTCTTTACGAAAAGCCCCGGACTCCTTACACGGGTCATAATTCGCTCCAGTGAAGACACGCTCCAGGTTCCAGACCTGAAAGAGCTGTTGCTTTTCCTTTGCTATGGCTTTAGGGTTCTTGGATCTAAACCACGTGCGTTCATTTGTCGAGAAGTGAAAAACTTTTAGCAGTCGTTTTCGTGTTCCTCGGGAGGCACCCTGGCACCTAGGAGATACCTATGAGAACGCCCATAGCTAGTTTAGTTCCCTAGCATATAAAGGTCCTTCATATATTTATGCCCAGTCGGTTGTGTTCATTCTGGACGAGAGTCCTAGCTATTGCTCTCGATGTTTCTTCAGAAATATCCTTGCTCCATAGTCGTACGAAATCTCATATAGTTTGCTTAAAGCTCTTCTATATGATTTTGCTCTTTTCAGACAAAAGTTACTAATGTTTTTATCCACCCTCGTTCTTGTATTTCACGAGAGCTCACGCTTGTTCTTGCCTTGTTCTTGCCTTGCCTTGTTCTTGCCTTGCCTTGTTCTTGCCTTGCCTTGTTCTTGCCTTGCCTTGTTCTTGCCTTGAGTGAGCCAAGGTATTTTGAGCTTCGGCATTGCATGTATGGTTCTTGAAAAAACTGAGAGCCTGGTTCTGTCTACTGGTTCTTTCAATTCCTGAACTAATTCATAATAGTGCTCTTCTCCATTTATTAACGGATATAATCTTGAAATACTTTATAATATCCTAAGTTTTGTATACCAAACCCTACGCTTTGGATAGGTGCTCAATGCACCCAGGAATATCTTAATTCCAGAACCTGACACCGTCTTGTAAAACTCACATTCGTTTGCAAATTCGAAATATATATAAATTGTGATTTATTTTTCATTGGCATGAATATTCTTTCAGTCAGACGTTAGTCTCTGAATTAACTAAACTTGGTGAAGTTTCACCAGACAGTTTTGCATTTTCATTTTCTTGTTTTGTCTGAAATAGCTTGTCTTCTGCTTTCTTTAGTGATGGTTTTTCTCCTGGTATATTGTTTTTAGACTCCTGTTTTGTCGTTTTTTTCAAGTTCTGGAGCTTGAGTGTCATCGGCATTTTTCTTCTCTTGCTCTTTTTTCCCAGCATTTCCATTCTTTACATCCATCTCAATTTCACCACTTCGTTCATTTTCCCTTCGCTTCTTTTCCTGTTTCTTGGACGTTCGAGAACGTATTCTGTTCCCAAAGCACTTGAACTTGTCCACTGAAGAATCTCCGTTCTCAACATTTTCTTTCTGCGGAGGGATGTCATCATCGTCATCATCGCCATTGTCGCCGTTTCCTCTGTTGTGTTCTCTAGAATAGTAATAAGCAAAATTGGATACGATGACGGGGACTGGAAGAGCGATGGCTAACACTCCTGAAATGGCGCAAAAACAGCCTACCAGCTTACCACCTAAAATGGAACAGGAAGATATTTATTATGGTGTTTTTGCTGCTTGGATAGTTATTAAACATTTGATTTGTATTCGAGCATATTTTTATCGGAAAAATATGGCGCTCGGAATTTTTTCCTGAGAAAAATATGCTTAAAGAAACACAAATCAAATCTTTAGGAAAGTATTTACTTACACAACTTTTTCAACTGACTGGTATAGGCGAAGCAATTTTATCTCCCACAAACACCAGTTATATATCGTTTGTTGCATTCCCAGCGAAAGAGGAAATTGCATCAAGAGTGGCAACCTTGTCTCACGACAACAAAAAGTGTTTCAGAAATTCCAAATATTTGCATTTTTCTTTGCATTTTTTATCCACATTTTGGAAACTGCACCGCGAGAGTATACTTATTTAATAATATATTTTGGAGTTTTCTGCAACAAAATCTAAAATTACGTTGACAGCGCGCAGAGATAAAACCTCAGCGTCTAATGACTGAATTAGTATTGGCGTCAATGTTTTTCCATTTTAGACCTATTGCCATTCTCATTCATGATTATGCACTACATTTAAGTTTTGAATATAAAAACCTTAGATTCACATGGTATAACCAAGTACTCAAATACCAATGGTACTTTTCCTTTTGAGCATCAATAATCGTAAATGGATGAAATATTAAAGGTCCCCACAAACTCCACAAATGCCCAAAAAATTCCAAACCATATTTTTTTAACCTACTTGAATCAGCTCTTGACCGAAAGGGAGAAGCCCTGAGATAAGTCCTGAGTTGTTATCAGCTCGATCGGAACTAACCGTAGTATAATATCGTTAACTGGCTTGGGCTAATATTTGCGGTCATTATCGATATAGAGAAATGCTAATTTTTCAGAAAGCGCTTTGATTATATGTTACATCAGTCGATTAATGAAACTATTTAATTCTCGATTCGCTTCTCAGTTCAAAATTCCATCCATCCTCTTTCTATACCTTCCTTCCTTCCTCCTTCCTTCCTTCCCTCCCTCCTTACTTACTTTATTCTTTCCTTCCATCCTTCCATCCTTCCATCCTTCCTTCCTTCCATCCTTCTTTCTTTATTCCTTCTTTCTTTCTTTTTT